GTAATGAGGATACCCCGTTCAGGTCTTCTTGTTAAGACATCCGTAATACATATTCCCTGCTGCGGATTCCTCGCGAAAGAACATTGCGAAAGGACCCCTGCGAATGATTTTGCTAATGCAGAATCTCTCATACGGATTGCGTACGAAGGGTTCCTGCATACGGATTCCCAACGGGGGGTTCCTTACTTAGGATTTCTTTTTTAAAGGGTCCCCCTAATAAGGATTCTTACTCAAGACTCCTTACTAAGGACTCCCTGCTCAAAACTCCTCGTTTTGAAAGCAGAAACAATGTTCTTTCGTAAAGATCCCCCTGGTAAGAAGTCCTTGCAAACAATTCCTTGCCAACGCCTCGTTTTCGATTAAAACAGAAAGCGCCCAACACGCCCAGGCATACGTCGGGCCTGCTTCTGGAAGAGGAGGAGGAGGAGGAGGAGGAGGAGGAGGAGGAGGAGGAGGAGGAGGAGGAGGAGGAGGAGGATATATAATGACGGAGGAGGATAAGGATGAGGATGGGGATGCGGATGAGGAGGAGGAGTGGGAGGAGGAAAAGGAGGATAATTAGCACGGACTCTCTGTTGGGCTCACGTATGGGCTACCATTGGCAGAACTCCTGGGCTGAGCTAAGCAGATTGGGGGGCCCGAGTCATGACCCAATGCTGGGGAGGGCACGGGCCCACGGGCCGGGCAAGGCAAGCACTGGCGCAGGGGCTGGACCCCTTCCCAGCCCTTACAGTCAGATGTGCCACTGGCCCGATTGCTGGACACTCTTGCCCTCCCTCCCCACCGGATTGTCCGTCTTACTGATCCCTGGGTCTGGGCCCCTGGGAGGTGGCATCGCGTAGGGAAGTGACCTTGCGGGGGCAAAGGTTCACTTTGTCGGATCTGCGGGAAGCATGCAAGCAGACGGGGGGCAATATTCGGTGTGCGTCTTCAAACGCGTGCGGGGCCGCTGCGGGCGCATGTCTGGCTGTTGGGCCTGACTTGGGCTGCCTTCTCGGGGTCTCCGGACCCCAGCGGGGCTCTCGGGTCCCGTTGCGCTTGCCCCAAGAGACGCGCGGGCATTTTGTCACGGAGTGGCGTGCTGTGGCAAAATGAAGTCGTGGACCAGGGTCTGAAACAGGCACTTCCTAGGGTCCCTCGGCGTCCACTGGATGCAGTTGGCGCGCCGCCAAGGGCGCTGCCCTGGCTTGTCGGGCCTGACGCGGGTCACCCCATGACCGGGTCGCAGGCCCCCACGTAGCCGACAGGGCTCGCTGCGCACCCTTCCTACTCCCCACAGAAGCGTTGGGGTTAGGCGTGGCCCGTCGCTCGCTCCTGAAGCTCGGCGCAGGCGTCTTATCCTAGACTGGCGATCGATCAATTGGCTTGGGACATGCAGCACCTGCAGGGTTCTCCTCCGGTGAACCGACGACGCCGATGACCACGATATTAACGATGCCGTGTATGCACCGCAGCCACAGGAGGTAGCCGATTCAAGGTCCCCTCTGTTTACTGGGTTTTGCTGTGGGCTGCAATGCGTTCTATGTAAATTGGATGGGGCTTTGCCATGTTGGCCTTTGTCTCTGTCTTTTCCTTTGCACTGGTCCTTCCCCTTGCCCTGCCACCGCCTGAAAGGCTCCCATACTGGCTCAGCGACGCTTCGCGTGGGTGCGTCCACCCTCCCGTCGAGGGCATCGGCATGAAGGCATGACCCCGATGCTCTGGGGCCGCTGGGTGGCCGCTCAGGCACCGGGCTGTTGGTGGGAAGCCCGGCGGAACCTGCGCGCGGCGAGTGGCGGCACCCCGCGCGTCTCCTGTGCGCGGCTTCTGCGCGTCCGCTCGCGCGCGGAGGTCCGCCCTTCCGCCGGGGGAGGAGGGGAGGGCGCAGGAGGAGGAGGCGGAGGAGGAGGCGGAGGAGGAGGGGGAGGAGGCGGAGGAGGAGGGGGAGGAGGAGAAGGAGGCGGAGGAGGAGGGGGAGGAGGAGGAGAAGGAGGCGGAGGAGGAGGGGGAGGAGGAGGGGGAGGAGGAGGAGGAGGAGGAGGAGGGAACCGCAGCCAGCCCCGTGGGCGGCCGGTGCTGCGGTGGCGGCGGCGGCGGGGCCGCTGCGGCGAAGGCGCGCGGCGGCTCGACCCCGGGTGCGAGGCTTCACCTCGCAGCGCGGCGCTGCGGGGCCAACGCTGCCCGCGGGGCGCTCGCGCCTGGGGCCCACGCCTCCCCCGGGCCCCGTGGGCGACGGGGCGCACGTAGGATACTCCAGATTTCGTAATAAAAGGGAGGGGGTCTGGAGCCTCCAAGACAAGCCATTTCAGACCTCCCCCGCGGGAGAACCCTCCAAAACATCGTCCCCAGACCCCCCAGGCCCTCCAAGATAGCCTGGAAGAGACCCCCCCCCCGAAATGAGACCCCCCTCCCTTTATTACGAAATCTGGAGTAGAGGCCGCCCTTGGGCAGAGCCGCTCTGGCAAGGTACGCCATGCTGGGGCTGCTCAGAGCTGGCTGAGTTGCGCGAGTGAGCGGCACGCCTCCTGGAGCCAAGGTGCCTCTTGGGGTGAGGGAGGGGAGGCGGTGGCGCAAGGCGGAGTGCAGAGACCTCATCAATGAACCCTGCCCTGCTCGGACGGACGGACAGCTGTTGGCGTGGCGCTGCCAATACTCCCAGAGACGTTGCGTCCTGGGCTGGGGTCGGGTGCCCACCTCTGAAGAGGATGGGGTCGAGAGCCCGCCTGCCCAAGTGGTGGGCGCGATAGTCCACCATTTAAGGTTATCGAGAGTCCGCCCCTCAGGGTGTTTAGGTCCAAGGCCCGCCTCTCCAAATGACGGGGTCGTCAGCCCATCCCTCCCGGCGATGGGGTCGAGAGCCCACCTACCCCCACCACAGCCCCCTACGTGGCCAGGAGAGTCGTCACGCCTCGTGGAGCGACGGTCACGGGCCCTCTGGCGAGCTCAAAACCGCTTTCCCAAGCTTCGGACGAGGGGGGTCAGGGCCCCGAGCCCTCGCTGAGTGCACTTCAACCCTGCGTTGGACGCTGGCACGTGATAAATGCAACGCAACAAGGTTATGGGCGCACCAACAAGCCAGAACTCCCACCTACGAATCCCCCCATGGATGACCAGCCCCTCCGGCGAAACTAGGTTGGGGCCTGCGACACCCGAACCAGTGCGCAGCCCCTAATCACTAGCACACTCCTGTGGGGCCCAGACGCTCTTTAACGCGACTGCATGGGGGATCGCTTGGGCCTGGCTGCCTCCCCTCATTGTACTACTAAGGGCCTCTAGAACATACCCAGATCCTCGATCGCATACTA